AGTTTCATTTTCTTCGGTATCATAATCCAAACAGGAGTTATAAGTCCCCCATGAATACTTTATGAAAGGTGACTTGTGACCACCACACAAGCGCTTTAGGTCAGATCGCTACCCCAACAAGGTTGCGCTACTTGGAGCAGTTGATAGTACGGATTACGATACTCCCAACATTCCGCAAAGAACCCTAGCAAACTTCCAAGTGTTACAAGCTCCGTTTCTACGGCATCTTTACGATTTCTCGAAGACAGATTGCACTCATTCCCATAGGCCTTGGTCTTTGCCCTACCTGAGGATGACAGGTCCGCTGCTGCAGCAGCGTGCCACTTTCTCCGTTCAGAAGTGCATGGTAATGGTCATGGAGGGTAGCAAAACCTTGTACAGTGTCCTCACTCCATCCGCGCTGCCCTCAGCCAGGCTACACGCTATGGGACCTTGATGCCGATGTAAGAGCTGCGCATCGAGGATAGCGCGAGTGGAGTAGGGGGACGGTGCATGAGTATCACTACCCTCAACAAAGTTATTATGTACGTTTGAGCGCAAAAACTACTGCAGCTCACCCATTCACTTACCACATAGGCAAGACTGATCTCGAAAGTGAGTGAGTGCACAGGTTGTCTATCATACTACACGGTAGTTTTAGCCGGAAGTTGCGAAGAAAACTTGTGGGCCGAGGGAAGAGGAGTATGTCCATGCTCTAGGGGACTCAAAGAGTAACCCCGCGATTGTATTGCAGATAGTGGCGCTCAAATGCAGACCTATAGTCGCTGCATAACTCTCCAAGGAAGAAAAAAGCCAAAAAACAATGGAGAACACCCTAACTAAACCTGAAGCCTCTCTAGAGTTTGCAGAATATAGCTTTGCTGGCATAAAACCAGCAGGTCTAGAGTTCTCCGGACCTGCTCGTCTGGAGAACTCTAGACCTGTTCAACAATCATTGAGCAATAGGTGGCAGACCCAATATTCTGTCACCTATTGCTCAATGATTGTTTTTTTTGCGTGAACCCATACTAATACCATCTAACAAGAAGAAAAAACGGAAAAGTGGTGTAAATCGGACTTGTGACAGGAGAAAGCGTTTGAGTTTCGGTGGGGAACTGGAGAGGCGTCTTAAATGCTACCTCTCAGGACCAGAGCACCTTCGTTAGTTATAACGAAGCCGCGAAAATAGGATAACTTTAGAGACTGGTGGCTAGACTA